TATACACATTATATGGCAATGGACATTCCATACTATTTATGCAGAAGCTATGTTCGGGTTTTTAGTTTTTGTTATTTTGGCAGTCCTGTGTAAATTAAATATTTCAATGCAGTACAGGGCTATTAAGAGAAGGGCTCTATTGTTTTTTTAATCCGCAAACCGCAATCTGTAACTGTTGAAAACAGATTTGATCTCAGTTATGCATGCCACCTTAAATCTATCATAGCAGTTAACAGTGCTTGGCTATTATTGCCTGGGCTTGGGACTGGTTAGTACTCCAGGCAACACTGAGGTTAGACTGAAATAAAAATAACTCCATGTTGTTATCATGAATTGAGGTCATCTTAATTTCTGTTTAATATTTAATACTGAATTACGCTATTGCATTATTTTCTCTGTTGTACTGATACTGGATTAAGTTTGATTGGAAATTGATTGCAAAATGCAGTGGCCAAAATGCTGATTAATCAGGGAGTATTATGCAGTTTATGCCAACTGGGTAAATACTCATTTAAAATTATAATGTTTATAACACTTATAGGATTTGTAACCATCTTAGCGGATGGGCTATCTTTGTACACATTCTGCTCTTGGTCTTTTCCTACTTGCTATATGGTTGACAGGTTCAACCACATAACCACTAAATTTACAATAAACCATTAAAAAGTCTCAACGATATAATAAGTTTAATAAATAAAATAAGGCACAGATTGCCTCTAAAAGAAATGAATCAGGTCCTGCTTTCACTTATTTTTAGTTTGCTTATTTCAATTGATTACAAAGATTTCTGAAGGAAAATTGCTTTGTTTTATTGTTTTGCTGCTGTTTTTGATTTTATATTATGGACCTGGTTTAGGTGGTTTATTTTTTATATTTATCTTAATTGATTTGGACTGCATGTTATTGGTGTGCAGACTATCAGTCTCTCAGTTTGTGTGTATAAATGTGGAAAAACAGAAAAAGAGATTGAGAGAAAGGACTGTAGGTTCTTGATTTGTTAAAATATCCTATGAACTATGTCAAGATAGAACTTTGTTACACAATTTTGCTACTTTAAACTACATATTCATTTTATTTGAATAAAAGTCAGTAATATACTTCCAGCAGGGCTAACAATTGGGTTTTTAGTTTCCACTATGCTGAGAAAGCAGATTCTGTTTCCAAGAAAAAGGATCACTTTGATCCATGATTGAATTGTGCTTTCTGCTGTGGTCATGGGAACGCAGTAAATTAGGCTTTTAAAAAATTGCTTGTGAATAAAGCCTGGCTAAAGATTTAATCTGTATAGATATGAACCTTTAAAATCAGTTTGCAGGGCTTTCAATGTGATTTCTTAAATTTAAAAAAAGCAGCTAAGTTCTATAATTAATTAGGAAAACCACTACCATTCTATTGTAGATTCTTTTCCTGTTAATTGAACAAACATTATTATTTACTCATCATCTAGTCCTGATGAGTAAATCTACTTTAAAATAAATTTTGATTGTACCTTGACATGCCCTCAGAGCAACCTTCTCTAATTTAATAGTGCCTTGAGGCTGCATTGAATTACAGTTCCACTGTCTCTGTTGGGGATTACAGTTCAACATACACAGAGGCAAAGAATTAAGAAAAGTTGCTTAGAAAATGGATGGCTACCTATAAGCACAAAGAAACTGGCACTATAAAGAAGACTAGATAGATCAGTGCAAGGTCATAATTAGAGACCCTGAAATGGTTCTCTTTTTTGTAAATGGATGATTGCAGCAAGAACAACTCAACAGAAGTCAAACCTTAAAGTATTCAGCTCTAAGGGCAAAAATTTGGATCCAGAAAAATTCAACTCTATTGAAACAGTAATAGTGAAACTCATTATAAATACCTTAATCAAAATTGTGCAACTTTTTTGGTTGGGAACTTCATTTTTAAGCCTCCCAACTTTACAAAACTGATGCCTTAAGTGCTTATTGAAAAATACCTTAATATTCATTACACAAGGAAATGCATGTCCTGATTTATTTTTCTCTGCAGCAGCCCAATAAAACATTGAAAATTAACAAAAATCATGTATTTGATTTATTCTGAACCTTTAAGTAAGGCATTTATCTAAGAAAATAGATTTTTCCTTAAATCAATACAAAAATGAAAATAGAATTCAATTCCATATTCATTAGTACTGCTAATGGAAGAATTATTTATAAAACACATAAAGGTGTGAAGAGATAAAAATCACACAAAGGTATTAACAGATATATCAGTGTTTGGCTCAATGAAATTGAAATGCCCTATGTGTGTGTTGTGTGTAAGGGAGAGACACATGCCCTGTTGTAAGTGTGTTTTTGTGTGTGTGTGTGTGTGTGTGTCTGCACTATGTATAAAGAGAGACACTATGACAAACATTATATCCCTTCCAATTCCTTTTCTCAACATTAAACACTAAGTCCAATTGTTTCAGTCTTTTCATAGGATTTTAATCAACTAATTAACTTCAATGTAGATATCACATGACTCCAACTGATTCTGGGAATTTCACAAATGTTAACATAAAAATCTACACAACCCAAAAGAAGATAGGATCTGGTCACAATAAACAAAATAACAAACACACTAGATAACACCTGAATGCATTGATGAAGTTGACTACCCTGAAATCATACGTCTTCAGGAAGAGAGACAAGGTCAGAAAATATTAATAACTTATCAAACTTTTCTGAGAGTATTCTATATATAAGAGCAAACCTTAAGATTTAACCCTGCCTAGATTAAATCTTACAGTCTTGATTTAAAACAAAAGTTATATTTCTGGAACTTGAAAATGTTTATGTCTAAAAGTAATTTAGAAAGAGCCATGCAGAATTTTAAAATTTAATAACATTTTTGTGCCGTACGTTTTGGGGGATTCAAGTTACTTCATAGGACTGCAAAAACATTTGCCATCACAAATCTGTGAACATTTGAGGCCAGAAGTGCTGGTGTTAGATTTACTGGAACAGATTAACATGTTTTATTGGACAAAAAAACCCAGAACTACACTAATTGTATCATCCATCTTTCTTTTAACTTGGACAAATGGAATAGATTATTTTAAAAATATTTACTTTAAAATTCAGAATCTAAAAATAATAAATGAACTAAATCCAGACTGATTTTGAAGGTACATAACAGTTCAGTTTGGACTCTTGATTAAAGTGCAACTGGGACATAGAAAGTGACATAAGATGAGAAAATGAATGCAGTTACATACACATTTAGTTATACTTTCATATCTCCCTTTTTACAACTGCGTAATCTCTTAATTAAGGATAGAATTGGGGTGACTGGAAGGAGCTGAGCGTTTACTGGCTGCATGCCCTTCCTGATACCATGCAGAATTTGAAGGCTATTTTTTCTTTGCACTGTAGGAGAGAAACATCTGCTGCTACCTAAGATTGAACTCTCAACCTTCCAAATGGAAGGCAAGCGTCTTCACCACTAGACAATCAAGCAACTCGTTTAGTTAGACCTTCATCATGGCAGATATTTCTGATTGTTGGAATATTTCATAACTTTGACAGAATGTTGAAGGAAAGGAGAGCAGAAGAAACACTCTTGTCCTCTATGATTGTTGTGTGTTCCATAGGAACACACAACAGTCATATACTGCTGATCTTCATCCTAGTTTTCAGATACATTGTGAAATGCAAATGTAGCACTGCTAGCCACAGGGGAATGGGAACAAGCACCAGAATCTGATGCTGATGAGAATGTTTTCATACATATGGGCAGAAATGATTCTGTAATGTAATGCAGAGGTCAACAACCGTTTCATGCTGGTGGCCCAGAGGGAAAGGGAGCAGCTGTAAAATTTGCAGGGCTGTGCACAAACAAGGCCGTGCACACCTGCACAAAACTAGCAGCCCATTTGTGGATGTGCACAGGTGCTAGCCCCGACTGCTAGCACCACGTGCATGCATGAACAGGCCACGCAACCCACATAGCGCTAGCAGCACATGCATGCGCTAGCCACCACCTCTGCTAGCACTGCGTGCATGCCCAAACAGGTCTGCGGGCTCTAGCGCGAGTGGAGGTGAATGCACACCCTGGCCAGACTGTCCCGTGATCCAATAGCCAGTAGGCCATGGCCTGCAGTGGGCTGCGTAACATAGGTTAGGGACCCCTGATGTAATGTATATTATATTGTAATGTATATGGGCCCACCATACCTGTCTGTAGGATATTGGTATAAGAGATTATGAAGCAGATTCAGGCATTTGGGAACTAATCAAGTTATTTTGAATATTTAAACTACTATTTTTAAAGCATATTTTGCAGCCTGTATCTGCTTCTATTTTAACTTTTTTTCACCATTTGCATTTCTTTTTTGCACTTAAATTACCTGTTAAGTATGATTTTGCAGTATTTAACAAGAATTAATAGCATTACAAAGAGAGGAGGAAAAAGCACATCACAATGTACATTTATGTACATAAATTTCATTCAGACAACTTGGCATGACTGCAAGGAAACATATGTTTCATCTTCAAACAGAAAATACTGAATACTTTTCTATATAAAGTTTAATCAAAAGTCACTACAGGTAATCCTTGACAATTGAGCTCAACATTTCTGTTGCTAAGTGAGACAGTTGTTAAGTGAGTTTTGTTCCATTTTACAACCTCTTAAGACAGTTGTTAAGTGAATCACTGCAGTTTTTAACCTAGTAACATGGTTATTAAGTGACTCCGGCTTTTCCATTGACTTTGTTTGTCAGAAGGCTACAAAAGGTTGACCCTGGGACATTGCAACCCTGCAACCATCATAAATATGAATCAATTGCCAAGCAACTGAATTTTGATCACATGACTGGGGGATGCTGCAACGGCCATAAGTGTGAAAAATGGTCATAAGTCACTTGTTTCAGGGCTGTTGTTACTTGAAACGGTCACTAAGTGAACTGTTATAAGACGAGGACCATCGTATTGCCCGGAGAGCAAAAGTCGAGCAAAAAAAACAAGTGATGTTTGTCATAGTAATGTACTCACCTTTCTTTCAAGACTGTCTTCTCCATCTGTGGAGCTGATGCTGTCACAAAGTCTTGTTCTGGTTGGCTGTGACCTTTTGTTTTTCACTGAAAGCTGCAAATGAGTTTTCAGAGCTTTAGAATCCGATCTTTCTGTTTCAGGGACTGCTTCATTGAAATCTTTTGGGGAAAAAACAACAACATTCAATTGTCTCAATACTCAGGATATCCTACATGTTAGGTTGTTTAGAATGAACTATATTTCAGTAATCAAATATAGAGAAAGTAATTTGTGTTTGCACACTGTCATCAAGGTGAATTGATCATTTGTCACAAGGTAATTAAAACTGTATTAAAAAATGTTGGGACATCCTGATGGTTTGTTAAAAGCTAAAGAATAAGTTTTTATTTAAAAATTAACATATGCTAAGTCCTCGGTGGTAGAAACGTAGCTAAGATAGGTATTTTTCCAGTGAAATGTTGTTTTGATGAGTGTATTTCAGAGTGGAGTTGATTATTTATATTCTAAGAAATGTAAACCACTCTAGATGCTAGGGCCTCTCCTCCTATTGTTCTTATAATTCATTAAATTATTTTTTATCTATTTAGATTGATCTAGTGGTTATGCACTAGGCTAGAAACTGGGAGACTGTAAGTCCCATCTTAGCCATGAAAGCCAGCTGGGTGACTTTGGGTCAGTCACACTATCTCTCAACCCTATCCACCTGAAAGGGCTGTTGTCAGGAAAATAGGAGGATGTTGTTTTGGATATGTCTGTTGCCTTGAATTATTTGTAAAAATAATAATGGTGGGATAAAATAAATAAAATTAAAGAAAGGTTGCAACAAATAAGTTAGCTTCCCATTTCAACTCCAATTTGCACTGGAAGTACCAAATGAGAGCTTTTCTTCCAAAGAGAAATATCAGGCCAATTCAATTTGGGATTAAATGTTAAATGCCCAGATTCTACCTTTTTTCTACATATCATTTATACAGTTGCTCATTATATTATAGGATACTTTTATTTTGCTTTCTGCTGGGGAACAGTAAAAAACAAGGAAATATAGTTAATATAGTTTGAGCATGTCAGTAATATCCACATTTCTTCCAAAGCTAAATGTATGTGGATAGTGAGTATTTGGATATTAGGAAATTCTGCGTCCTTGAGCAGCAGGCATGTAGGTGCCAGAAAACTCAAAATCAAAGACTATCTTGCAAGAAAACTTTTCATTAGCCTCTTTTGAAGAAAGGGTGATTACAGCCCAGCAGGTACAGTATTTTTCTACACTTCATTTATTCAAGGGATCCAGGAGCTAACTTCTATGAAAGGTATCTTTTATATCATTTTCATCTTCTCGCTAAACTCCCAAGCCTTATTAACAGAATTAATTAGTAAATGTAGGTATCAATAAACATGTAATGATAACCACATGACTAGTTATTTTAACGATTAGAAAAATCAGCAAAGCGAAAGGAACTACTTTGGTTTGGAGGTTGGTTATTATGTTGGGTAACTCCATTCATCTTTGGAGTTGTTCTCCATTTAGCACATGAATAAATACAGAATAGAAGTGATAAAAATAAACTTTTTAAAGTGACAGCAAAAAAAGCATCCTCTCATGTTTTCCTGCAATATTGTGTTCTTTCTTTCTTTCTTTCTTTCTTTCTTTCTTTCTTTCTTTCTTTCTTTCTTTCTTTCTCTTTCTTTCTTTCTCTCTCTCTCTTTCTTTCTCTTGTGTTCTTCGCTTTCCTTTCCCTTCCTTACCAGTGCTGAAATTCTAAAAGTATATTTAACTGAAGAATTAAAACAGGGGGTTCTATAAAAAATAAATACGGAATAATTTTCAAGCACACAGCATATATAGAATTGTTTTTTTTTCACAGCAATAAGTAATATAACCACCTCTATGTTCTGTGTGCATCTTGCTCCCTTCCTTGCAATTTTTTGTTAATCTTAAGTAATTTTTGATGTTAGTATTCATTATTTTATTATTTAATATTTTATCTTGTTTTATTTGGTTGCAAGCCTGGCAGTATTTTTTTTTAATTTATTTTATTTTATTATGATAGATAGATAGATAGATAGATAGATAGATAGATAGATAGATAGATAGATAGATAGATAGATAGATAGGTAGGTAGGTAGGTAGGTAGGTAGGTAGGTAGTAGAAATAGACAGATACATAGAAACATAGATGCATAAATAGATACCTAAATACCTAGACAGACAGAGGGATAGGCAAACAGGCGGGCAGGCAAAAAAAAAAAAAAGCAAGGGAAGACATAGCCTAGCTCCAAGGATCTTAGAGGAGTGGCATGGGAGACCTATAAGATTCAGATTTTGAAGAGGACATCAACTTGTCTCTCATATTCTATGGATTCCTCTCCCTATTCTGGAATTAATGTTTCAGATTTCTAGAGCAGAATTGGGAGGCAGACTAGAAGTATCAAAAACACATTCTTTTTTCTCCATGTTCCTTTTGAAATGCTCAACAAATATGTCATATCCATGGAGGGAACTGTGGACAGTAGAACGGTGAATGATTTCAAGATACGTAATATGTAATTTGTGCTCACCATCCACATTTTGCTTTTGATTATTTGAGACCCTGGAGTACTTCCCATCAAGTTTGAAATTATTTTGATTCTTTTTTTTTTCTCAAGTCATTTTATAAACTCGCTACTCCTCAGGTCTTGATGAAGAATACTTTTTGAATGTATACATGCATTTACTGTATATGCATTTTAATGTATTTATGTAAATATATGAAATCAAAAACCATGAGTTCAATTTTCTTCACTTCCGTTTGTGGTGGAATCAATGACTGAAAGCAAGGAGGCCCCGGTAGGGGGATTAATAAATATCTCAACTTGGAGTGAGGAAGTGAATGAGATCAAAAACTTAGGACTATATCAAGTGTTTCTCAAGGGAAGGCAGACAGTGAAATTCTTGTGAACTGATAAATGTAAAGAAATCACTTGACTTAAACCAGTGGTTCTCAACCTTCCTAATGCCGCGACCCTTTAATACAGTTCCTCATGTTGTGGTGACCCCCAACCATAAAATTATTTTCGTTGCTACTTCATAACTGTAATTTTGCTACTGTTATGAATAGTAATGTAAATATCTGATATTTACATTGTTGTAAATACATGGGTGTATTTTCATTGTTATGGATTGAACATAATTAACGCATAGTGATTAATCACAAAAACAATATAGCAATGCTCGCTGGAGAAGCTTACTCTTCCTTGCTCAAAAATGTTGGGAGGGAGGGAAGGGGAAGGAAGGAAGAAAGATTGAAGGGGAAAGGAAGGAGATGGAGAAGGAAGGAAGGAAGGAAGGAAGGAAGGAAGGAAGGAAGGAAGGAAGGAAGGAAGGAAGGAAGGAAAGAGAGAGAGATTGAAGGGAAAGGGATGGAGATGGAAGGAAGGAAGATTGAAGGGGAAAGGAAGGAGATGGAGAAGGAAGGAGATTGAGAGGGAAAGGAAGGAAGGAAACAAGGAAGGAAGCAAGGAGAGATTGAAGGGGAAGGGAAGGAGATGGATGGAAGGAAGGAAGGAAGGATTGATCTTTGGAGAGTCATGTTTTTCCAGATGGTGATGAACTGCAACTCCCAGCATTCCCCACTCTTCCACAGTGCTTTTTAGGGCTGCTGGGGATGGTAGTCCAGTAAGGTCTGGAGACACACACAGATGCCTTCTGACTGTGAGGGAGGCGGACCGGGCGTTGCGGGGGAGGCTCCGGTGTGGAGGGCGGCCGGGGCCAGAATGTGGCCGGGCAACTAGGAGGCGTGGGGATCGGCTCGGTGCCGCAGCTCAGCTCAGCCAACAGCAGTAGCAGCAGCAGCAGCACGTTGCCCGAGCAGGGCGGGAAGAGAGGAGGTGGTGGTGGCAAGTCATGAAAGCAGCGTCCATATGTTCAGGGTGCAAATGCCTTGAACGGTTTGGCTCCCCCACTCCTTTATTTACTGATCTGCCACAAGCTCATGCAAACAAGCCCCGAGGAGTTCTGAACGAGCGGTCATTTAAAAAAAAAAAGCTTTCAGCAACGAGGCAGAAAGAGGAACTCGCTCACGGCTCTTTTTTTCTCCTTTCTCGATGACTGGGAAGGCAGCAGCCAGAGATGCCACTTCACAAAGGGAGGCGGAGAAAGGGGCGAGGGGAAAAACCTCACTCAACTTTCACCCTTATCAGACCCGGTTCCCTTCTGGTTGACACCCACCCACCCACCCGCCCCCTTCACCGCTACAGATCAATGCTACCCCTCGGGAGTATTTTGCCAGACTTTTTTTTTACCTTGGCCCTGCGCTTCTCCCAGACGGAAGCCAGGCAATAGGACCTGAAAGACGCTGAGCTACCTTGCCAGCGCCCGCCACTGCCCCGCTAGCCTCACCTTGGCCACCGCCCATTCGGTGCAGCGGCAGGCAGGCCCAGGCGCTCCTGGGCGGCCATGGCAAGCGGCAGCGACGGCGCAGGCCAACCACTGGCTGGGCCACTAGCTGGCCCAGCCCAAGGGAGGTAAGCCACCCGCCGGGCCCCACGAGCGCCAGCTACTCTCCCAGCGCCCGCTGCTGCCCCGCTAGCCTCACCTTGGCCACTGCCCTCTTTTACTTACATTTAGTAGTTCCTCAGCAGGGAGGGGTGGAAACTTCCAGAAAGCTCGCCTTAGCTGCAGAAAACTTGCAGCAACATATGCCGACTGGGACTTTTGGCGGGCTCAGCAGGGCAGAGACAGCCTGGACAATTCATATTGGCTTTTGAAAGCCAATAGAATTAGACTCTATTCAAGAGAGTCTATTCTATTGGCTTTCAAAAGCCAATAGAATAAGAGGGAGTAGCACAGCTCGTGAAAAAGGGGGGGAAAAAATGCCGGACTGCATTTCATAAGGATTCTATGAGGAAAAATTCCAGGACTTTGGCGACCCCTGTGAAATGGTTGTTTGACCCCAAAAGGGGTCGCGACCCACAGGTTGAGAACCGCTGACCTAAGCATTGGAGCTGTTTTGATTGCTTTTGCACCTGACATTGATGCAACTACTGTATAAGTCAAATAGGAATATTTTTATTCTCCTCAAACCTTTTCCTTAAGATGTGTCATAAAATACACCTCACTTCAACCAGGACTAGCTAAAAGTTTTGGTATCTGCCAAATGTTTCCTTCTTTCATCCCATCTAAAAAAGCCATAGACTGAATCTTTTTTAATATGGGATGGAAGATTAGATCTTCCAGCATACTTGGGAGGAACCAGCAAAAAGACTATTAGCACGCAAAAGCAAGACATGGTTTGGGAGTTAGTAAGAGAGCTACTAATTGTTTTGCTACCCAAAGCAAGTACTTCACAGGGTCTAATGATGACACCAGGCTTAGCAGAGTTGAAGTTCAGAGAAGTTAACTGGAGATAAAAAGTGTTATTTTCCCCCCCATTAACTGATTTACTCAGTGTTCTTCATAGGTTTCAATCACGCAAGCACAAAACAGTCTTGATACAGACTGTTAATAAGCATAACCATAACTGTTTTATTTATGATTAATAACTAAACTCATATCTATAAACTGGTATGAAAAACTACAGAATTTTCAGAGCAGATGTTACTTTGAAGACAGATTTTTTAAAGATTCATTTTGATAAGTGGACCAGAATTATTATATCCAGAATATGAGTACAACAGTCTTCCCCAATAGGTGCTATAAAAAATGTGAAAGAATTACTGAAAATCATAATTAAAATATCTGTTATAATGCTTTACTGGAAAATATAGTAGCACTTAGGAGAGACTTGACATCAATAAGATAATTTTAATCTTGTTTTACAATGTGCCTTTAAAGATAATTTATGCTGGCCATTCTTTATTTTCCAATTCAAAAGATTAAAAAAATTACATTTATGAATCAAAGCAATAATAGGAACATAACTGAATAGTCCAACTTTAGCCTTTATTGGTATTGGTATATTGCTATACTGTAATTCAGGCTAACATTTTATATTTAAGGTAAAGCATAAGCAGGTAGCAGTGCTTATATGAACTTAATTGCCCTCAGAAGTTAGGTAGGTTATGTCCTATTCAATACTTGGATGGGGAACACTTGGAAAATCAAGGCCCAATGATAAAAAGGCAATGAAAACTCCTTGTATAAGGCTGACAAGAAAATTATTTGAATAGAGTTATCAAGACTCAAGCATAAATCAACTGTATCTTTATTTTTAGCTATGTAGAATAAGACACGGTCCCAGTGTCCTATCACTATTATATTTTTGAAGGAATATCTTGCCAAGGAGCATTTTCACTCTGTTTGCTTATAAAAATGAAGAGCAAAGCAAAGATGCATGCGTTCTCATTTAACCAATAAAAATGAGTGTAAATTTGCTAATTCAAATACTATATTATAAACTGACAAGTTTAATGGAGGATGAAATTAAATCTAAATTTACTCTGATTTACTGAACAAGGCAAGTATGTAGAAGCATCAGAAAGTGGTATCAATGCAACTAAAATGTAAATGATTTAATTGAACCCATCTTCTGTACCTTACTTAATTACTTAGTTAAGTACTCAATTACTTAATTACTTACTTAACTATTTACTTAAGTCTGACATAGCCAACCTATATGAGTGTGTTTATAGAATCAAATTTAAAAGAATCCCCTATGTAACAAATGACCAATCCTATACTTTCCAAGATGTAGACATGCTATTTAGCATTAGACAATTCCTTTTTCCCTGAAGTAAAAATCAAAACTTATTTTAATGAACATCTTCTTTTGTTTCTAACCTTAGACAGATTAGAAGACAATATTTTTATCTATATGGAAAAAAGTGGCAACTGGCCATTCCAGTAGAAATCTTTATCAAACCTGTTTCTTCTGGACAAAAGAGGAATTATATACTTTCAATTTTTATACATTGAAAGAAGTTGTTCTTGCAATAACTGCCTTTTACCTTAACTATATCATGGTATGACTCAGGAAGTCCACAGAATTAGGCATAGTTGAAAAAAGGCTCTTGTTTGTATGCAGTTCTTTCCTAAAAAGCATTTCATACTTTTGGTGATGTGTAGTTGTAGCTAAATTTCAGCGTTCTGTATACTGGCAATATGGTTAATATATTAAGAGTCTGATCCTATGCATTTGATAATGACTCTTCACAACATTTCATCACATAAAGATCAGGATGTTTGATTTCAAAACATTGGTTAGCATAACAATGTCAACTTTCTACAATATTGATTCCTGAAATGGAAACCAACTTTCTGATCAGGAAATAGCAAAAAGTCAGAAGTCATGTCTATACACACATATATTTAACCAGTATGAGTGGGTATAACAAAACATGACTTCAGAAGTTGTACAGGCTATGAAGTACGTATTCAAATTTGCGACAACCAAATGGAATGGATCTACAACTACGTATGTTTTCACATTATTTTTTTTGCAGCACTACTTTATGTGTATTATGGGATAAGGACATGATCCCATAATTAAATATCCATTTACACATTTATAACACTAGTGTAAAGCAAGGGAAGTTATAACAGACAGGAGAGTTATTACATCAGCTGTCACAATGGACATACTTCTACACTGAACATTAGATCATGTGCTCCAGAAAAAAACTTACCAAACACATCATTAGGATCAACCCCCTTTATAGCTCCTTCTGCAAACATGCACAGGAGACCTATTAGTCAATGGCATATTATACCCTATCTTAAAAATATTACAAATATCTTCTAAAAGGAGATTTTTAAAAAAAGCTAGTATAGACAACGACAATCAGAAAACCTATTTCTTATCTGAAACACATTAGCAAGAAGCTGCTTTATTGCAGAATCATTTGTTTTATGTAAATGAAAAGGTGCTTTCTCTAAAATTATGGAGTTATACAAATATCAACCATATAAATGGTACAGAACTTCAGAAATCGTGGGTGCTCCATCACTGGGGGTTTTTAAGAAGAGACTGGATAGTCACTGGTATAGGTTCTCCTCCTTGAGCGGGGAGAAGACCTCCAAGGTCCCTTCCAGCTCTATTCTATTCAAACTTATACAACCTAAAATTCATGTGTGTATGAGACTACAGACAAATCTTTAGATTATAGATTTAATTCTGCATTTTTCAGAATTTTCAGCTGTATCTATTTTCTTTCCTTCCTGAGTCTGATTCTGCCAATTTTTAAATCAAATACACCTATACATGGATTTGTAAATAAATTAACAAAGAAGTGCTTCCCAACACTGTATATAGTCATACTTCTCTTCCATCTGTTTCTACACTGTACTACACAAAGTATGCTAATATCCCCCTGGTCTTCTACAGCTGGCCATTATATGAGAAATGTTTTTTATTTATTTAAAAAAATTATATGGTTGCCTATCTTGAACCAAATTCTGGGCAGTTCACAACCCAGAATTTTCAACATAATGGATAGAGAAATTCATTGTCAAGATATGTATGGCTCCTTGCCCAAATACAGATGTCCATCCTGCTCTGAATACATAAACAAACAGGTGTTTATATTGTTGCACAATCTTTGGTTTATTTTTGACAGATACAGAAGCCACTGCATTTTTCACCTTGAAATAAGAGTAAATGTAAAACAAATGTAAAATATATATGAGTGTGCAAACTCTGTTAATTTTTTTCATTAACATAATAACAGAAAACAAATCAGATACAAATCAAACAAAAAATGCAATTATACATCTTACAGGTATTTTTATATAACATTATTTGAGATGTTCAGCACATCATTTATTACATTCTGAAAATAAGAATCACTCCATAATTGCATCATATATTAGTAACAAGATCATCATCTGAGTCATATTCCAACAAACCTTGATCTAAGGCATCAGGTGTTTCTGCTGTATCTTCTTTTGAAGATTCTCCAACAGAGTTTTGTTGTTCAACGATATTGTTGTTGTTATTCATTTGGCTTTCGTTTTGCTTCAGTAGCTCAAACACTTCTGCTTCCAGTTTTCTAATCTAAGAGTAATATAGGCAACCATTACAAAATGATTTGTGATATTTCCTTTTCTTGAGACAAGTTAATAAAACATCTATCAATACTTCAGAACATGAGGTTTGCTTCAAGTCCCTGTTTTAATCAGGGATAAATAATCTCCACATCTTATAGTACCACAATGTTCATTTATTTATAATCTGCCCTTCTTTGTATCAAAATTGTAACAAAGAAATTAATAATGCTTCCAAAATAAATAAAAGTCACAAAGTTTCTTACTCGAGCTTGTAAATGCTGAACTTCTAGAAAATGAGCTTTTTCCAGATCTTCAAGTTTTTTCTTGTCATCATCATGGTACTTCATAAAGTCAAGTTCTCTTTGGGGAAAAACATATATGCTGGTTAGAGAAATCTCTGAATTGTGATAAATATTGAATCAATTTGCTGAGGCAATGTACTTATGTAATTTCTCAGAGAATGTCTGTTGATAAGAGGTTTAATACTAATCTTATAATAATCATGGAATTAATAAAAGGTGGAAAGGTATTTGTTTGTTTACTGAATACACTGAAATAACATTTCAACTTATCCTTTATGAAAAATGGTTTATTAATACTATTAGAAAAAAAGAAGGAAAATCCATGTTATTAAAAGTATGTCATGTAATTTGCTCCACAGACAGGAAAGCTGTGATATATATAGGCATTAAATTTTCAGTTAGTGTTGCTTATTTTGAACATATTTAAAATATTTCAAAAGCTATATGTCAATCAGTTTGGTCTATTGTATAAATTTGTAATTTTAGCTTAAATGGACATATACATTTTGGAAGGCACATATAGGCATTTTTTTGGTAAATCATATTTGGAGACTTATAGCCCAATCTGTTCTTCATTTTAAAATCTCTTAACTGCAATCTTACATATTTTATCTGGTGAAATGTCTCACTGAACAATTTATATCCAGTCTTTTTTTCTAGAAGCTTAAAGTCAACCAGATAATTTATGGCTGAGCAGAGATCTGAATTAATTATCCCCTCAATCAGTTGGTTCTCTGCTTGTCCTCACAGTCTGGGAATTGGTTCTTGACTAAGCACAATGATGTTGCTTACTTTTCTTGAAAGTCCTTGATTAGTTTCTTAGCTTTGTTGTATTTCTTCTCCAAGACCTGATATTGATCCTGTGAGTCCTTCAGATGCTCATTTACATTATGACACAGACTTTGTGCTTCAACCCAATAACCCTCTATTTTCGCCATCCTTTCCTTGTTTTCCCTATTGTTCTGGTGAAGTATGTTCCTTTCCACCTGCCACCTTACTTTCTCATTTTCGGCAATCTGCAGCTGGAGAAAATTAAGTTACAGGTTTATGCATTCAGATTAATTGACTGGAAAAAAGGTTGGGAGTATAGCTGCTATTATTTAGAATAACAATAATTCAGTACAGCTTTCCCCAATTTCATGTTTTCTAGTTCTGCAGACTTTAATTGAAAATTACAATTCCAAAATATTTTGAATGGACCAGGTTTATTAATCTTCATAAATAAATAAACCATATTTTTCATTAATGTAGTGCCCTCCAGTTTATTGATATTAAAACTCTCAGATTCTGACTGACCAATGCAACTGAGACTTTTAAACAATTATAGTTC